ACCAACAATATTATCTTTAGTATTTTAACAAACTATCCTCAACTGCCCCCAGTGACTCTGGAAGAAGCTGATACAGTTCCTTGGGCAAACATGTTTTCAGTTGCAGACTAGCAACTGATACTGTCCAACAGATAGTAAAGTCTCCAAAAGCAGTTGTTACAGTCAGTTGGGTACATAACCTATGACCTGAAAGACACCTATGATGCCTGGCAAAGATATGTTTATCGGGGTATTTATACTAGCATTTCTTGAAAGGCAAAACTATTTCTCCGATTTACTAGGGTGGATAATTTAATTTCAGTCTGTAATCTTCAGTGATTCCAAAAGGTTTTGTTGCTCTGGGAATCTCTGCCATACAGCAGTTTTATTTTTTCTGGAGAAAAGACAATGTACTCTCTTGTTGACACAAATTAAAAGAATTCCTGTATGTGAACTCACTCTTCAAATGTTTTTAGTGATAATGAGATGTGTATGCACACACATCAAAGTAAAATGTTTCCTATTTAATACTGAAGAGGAGATCAGTCAGAGTAAACTCCTGAGGTCCCAGAGCGGCTAAAGAGAACATACTATTTCTTCTGACGTGCAGAGATTACCATCTGCCTACCTAGTGATGGCCATTTTTTGGAGACATTTCTTCTCTCTGAGGTCTTCAACTACCCCAACAAAAAGGATGAAGGAGAAGCAGAAAGCCATTCTAAAAACTCTCCAAATTATTCAGTGATCATTAGGTGGTTTTATTAGTTAGGCTAGTAGCTTTCTTTTCAGCCTCAAATGTTTGAGTTTAGTAAGTATCTCAGGGCAAATAAGCTAGTACTTGGCAGAAATCACGATTACTCTGGAGATTCTGTGCTAACAGGGGAATAAAACATTTTTAATGTGTGTGCATAGAACTAAACATGTTTTTCATACATAGATTTCTGGAGAGGGCATATATAAATAATAGTTAATACAATCTAAATTGCTAGCTGGAATCAGAGAAAGGGTTATTAATAGACATGTGGTACAATAGCAATTTTCTACCTCACTGTGTTGCAGTCATGGAAAATTCTGTTGAAAGCATCTGGCTACAAAATCAATTACAATTTATAAATTAGGCTTGCTTTCACTCCAAAGGCTGGGTTTGAAGTGTGCCTTTGGGGTTATGCAGAATTCTTCCTTTAATGCATGGGCACTGAAGTGCAGGATTTTGCCTTCAACACTGAAGGGCTGAACATCAATGTGCTCAAATCAAATACTGGGTCCAATAGTGCAGGAAAAAGAGCTTGGAGAGACGTGCAAGAGCTCTGCTCTGTGAACAGGCTGTGTATCTGCATGCAGCATAGGCTACGTGCCCTGAGCCAGATGCACAAACAATTTACAATCTCAAACATATTCAATCTGTTTTAGAGGGTTTTAGCACCCTTTGACAGTGGTTGGATCTGGACTAAAGCACTGCAAGCCCACAGTTGTGGACGCTTACCTGTTTCGTGCATCCTAGGTTTTTGGCAAGGGATGTCTTAAGGCAGCAGCCCCAATCTGAAGCTGAGCTATAACACATCTCAGTTACATTTGGATGTCAGAGATGTATTAGCTGGGAGTTTTATAGGCACAAAAGCAAGGGTGTAACCCCCAAATCATGTGTGAGCAAAGATTCAGGCATGAAGAACAGTGGTGAAGATTTTAAGGACTGATTTGGAAACAGTATGATTTAGTTTGTGTTTTGAGGAATCTGAGCTTTGTTCAGTTTCCTGGAAGTTGAACTAGGCAGTTTGTTTTCACTCTTCCAATTACTGACTTGATTAATATTTACTTCCAGGTATCAGAATAAAAAAGGAAGTAAATTTTGGGTTTAAATTTCAAGCTTACTTTTGTGATTTTTAAAATTCTTTCTTAGAAAAATCTCACATCTGCATTGGACAGGTGAGGTCAATGATGTTATGGAAGAGTTAAATTGTTTTAAGTGAGATAAACGTCAAAGTCCTGTGCTTTGGATAGTTTCCATTGCAAAGAAGTAGAAAGATTAATCACTTATGTGAGATATTTAGATTACTTAAGTTAATGAGAATGGATTTGCTGAGATTTAAAGCAAAAAATTCCAAGATTACAGACAGAGGACTTACAGAATAAATTGAATGCAAACCCAGCAGCAAAAGTGTGTTTCTAATTTAGTTTTGTTTTTTTTTTTTTTTTTAAAACTGCCACAATGCTGAAACATCAAGGTGACGATGCAGTTCTGTTATGGTCCTCTGTGTAGAAATTTTTTCCTCCAGTTGCATACTCCTGTGGTGTCAAATGCATTTGTGAACCCATAAAAATCATCCAGGTCAGAAAGGCTGGGCAGAAAGAAATCTGATGTGACACTTTGTGCTTTCATAGAAAAAACTTGTCTATCTCCCTACTGATTTTCACTTGTGGCTATATTATTTTTCATTATTTTTACTTGCTCACTGGCATTTTACTTTCATCACCTGGAACAGCTCAGCAAAACGCACAGAAGTGTGATGTAGCTACATCACAGAAAACTGTGTGCACAATGTCCACATATGTCCACAACCACATACACCAGGTTTTGTTACTGTTCCTTTTCCACAACACCTCTCTTCTACTGGAGCATTTAATTTGAAATGGAGATGTGTGTGATGCTTAGCTCCTTGCTGTGCAGCCACAGGGGTTTCTTCCCTCGGGGTTGACAGCAATTTTTAAAGGAACATTGTGGGAATGTGCATGGCTCTTGCACAGCTAATCAGAGGAGAGAAGGAGGTACGTCCTCTGCTGCCAGAAAGAACCATTGCAAAGAAGCAATTAATTTGCCCCATTCTCTGGCAAATTATAGCTCCTCTCCCTGTGGCTCCTTCATGAAAGAAATCACAGGCCTTCCTTTGCTTCCCATTTAGATGTGAATGTCTTATCGCTCAGCGTACAACCTCTGTCCTCACTTTCCTGTTTTCATCCCCCCTCTGCCTCTCTCTAGAGCTCTTCTGCTACCTCCTGACAGTCAGATTTTGATGTGCATTAGATCAGCTCCTCTTCATGCTCCCCTTGTACTCTACCTGAATACCTTCACCATCTCTGCTTTCTCTCCTCTAATTTCCACTCTCCTTTTTGCTTTTAGCAGAATTTTGGCATTTTTATCCAACTCTAGCAAACCCAGTGTAGTCGGAAGCATTATTAGGAACACAGTGACAGAGTCCTGGTGGTGGAACAGTCTGCTTAGAACACTGGTAGAGTCCCTGTTACTTGCCTCATTTTAAACCTTACTGAAGGCTGTTTAATATGCAGTAGTACCAATACTGTAGCAGAGAGAGGGAACAAAAAAGATTCAGAGATTTTTCCTCCATGGAGCCTGTATTCTTATCCTCTGTGTTCATCATGACTCCTTTTCTTAGTCTTTATAAATTGTTGGACACCTCTCTTCTCTATCTTTAGCTAGTCCTCTTTCACATTTGCCTGTTCCCCCTCATTCTGTGCCTATAATGAGCTCCTTGCTGCTACGCCTCCCTATTCTGCCCAAGTTCGCTTCTTTAGCAAAACTTTCATGGATTTGTTAAAGAAGTATGACTTCCTCCTTCAGTTTCTCAGCTACTACATAATTTACCTGTACAACAGATCTAATATTATTTTGGAACTTATTTGGAAAACAACACTGAATATACCATACTGATAGCCAGAAGACAAGTTCCTCCTGCAACATAGCCAAGATGGGAAAAGTAACTGTTTCTTCTGTTTATTTTTTTTTTCATGATTACTACTGTGGGTAAAAACATGAAACAATAAGGGATAGATCTCAGAAATTGCACAAAATTTTAGAAATTACTTTTTCTCTCAGGACTCAATTAGGTATAACACCACTAAGTATGGTTTCACCACAGTAAAGTGAGAATTGCTTTTACATTAGAAGGCAATGTTAAAATGTACATTCAAAAATTTGATAAATCAGGCATAAGGTTAGGTAAATAAATGACAAGTTGTCATCGTCTTGCTTGACTGTCTTTGATACAATCAGTTTATACTAGTTTAACAAACCATTAATACAAAAACATCGTAGGAAGGAATCTTGTTTCCAGGGTGGTATTATTAAAGTACTTCCAACTTTTGCTTTGCTAACACTGAGCCAGGCTGCATCCCACTGTTCAGGCTTTATGATCCATTACCAAATGCCTGTTTCTAAAGTAAAAAACAAACAAACAACAAACCAAACCACAAAACTCCACAAACAAAAAGACCCCACTGCTTCTTATAGACAAGATCACTGATACAAGGTTTTGTTCAGTGCTCACAAATTTGTTCAGAAAATTATGACCTGATTTTAAAAGTTCTCCTGCTATAGAGATGCTAAAAATATTCTTTTTTCCCCCAGGTTTCTTCCTACTGTATTCTACCTCTCCTGAGTCAGGCGGGCTGGAGAACACAGTAATTGGAAAAGAAATCTGGTAAAAAATGAGAACAAGAGGAGGCCCACCCCCACTCCTACTGAAGTCAGTAGAACTATTTCCACTACCTTCCACAATCCCTTCATCCAGATACTGAAAAATTAGCTCAAGATTTCAAATAGAATAGCTCAAATTTTCCTTGGGCTGATCTCCAACCACTGTATTCAAACATGATTCTACTGTGCCTGCTCCCCAGTTTGCACTCTGGTGCATGCCCCCATCTTCTCATACTTGCTCTGACTTCAGTTGTAAACAAGAAGAATCTGATTTTGAAGATCACTCCAAAAAACCCACAGTGGATAAGTGGATGGTGGATGTTAATTTGACCACAGATACGCATTTTATATATATATGTACATACATACACACAATCTCTATATACACATTATAAATATAATAATAAAATACTGTAAAAATACTAATTTTGCTCAAATACCTGATTAAAGTGGACTAATCTTATGTTGCATTTATGTGACCTATCCAGTTTATATGATGGTCTTGTTAGAAGCCCTAAAATCTGCAATACTTGCAATTGTTAAAAACAAAGAGTCTATATTTCTGACAGTCACCTCATGCCATGCAAAGAAGTTAGGTCGGAGGTGGGCCCTCGTATCTCAGCATCAGGCTGAAGGACCTAGCAAAGTTGTTGGCCAGCGTGCAGCTGTGGGTCTCCTCTGCCAGGGGCAGGAGGAAGGCCAGGAGCAGGAGGAGCAAGAGGAGTAGTTGCAATGGTAGTGCTGCCCAGCACACTCGATGAAGGAATGCGCACAGGCCTCCAGAGCGCTTCTGAAAGACACAAACCAAAGAGCAACTCAGAAAAATAAAGACCTGGGGAGGTGCATTTCAAACACATCAAACCGCCAGGTAGAGAGGCAGAACAACCCATGTTGTCCTTGGCCTAGGATCCAGCCTGGGTGCTTGGTACACTGCAGCTGACTGAGGCTGGTGCTTCAACGATGTCTTTTAGGAGAATATTTCACTTCTTCAAGAATTCACTGCTGCAAACTGTTGCCTTCTAGAAGGAAAACACTGCTGACTTTCTAGCAGGAGAAAACAATTGCCTTCAAGTCCATTTTCCAGTTACAAAGTTGTGGTTACACATGCTCACGCCAAAGCTGCCAACTGGTCTCCTCACAGTTAGCATATGGCACAGAAGGTCTGCGTTAGTAACTCTCCTGTCTGTAAAATGAGAATGCTGATGCCTAGAAGAGAGGAGCCAGCCTTCTGTTCTCTGTCAGCAGAAAGGAGCTTTGTTTGCAGCTCATCCAGCTCACAATCCTCTCCCCAGCTGCAATGTGGTCTTTGGATCCTGACTTTGGGGTCCATGAGGCTGGAGGTCAGAAAAAGGGCCCTGCAATGCAGCCTGCCTCAATACCTGTTATACCTTACCAGGCCCATCTTAAACTTTTATGTGATGCAACAGAATGAGAGAAAACACAACACTGACAGTGAAGAAGACATTAAAGTCACATTTATTGCTGAGCAGCCATGTGAGGGACACACTAAGAGGTCCCATTACACTTTTCTTTACGCTGGTGCAAATCTAGCTTAGCTCAGTTAACCTCATGAATTTAATCTGGATTAGCACGACCAGGAGAGAACATATTTGGGGCTATAGAATTCAGAAAAGATTAATTAAGAAGTGAGATTTCCCCTGGCGAGATTCCTGGGTATCTCCTGCCAATGAGCTGAACTATGTGTGTTTCACATAAACAAAGCCAAGTCAACTATCTGTAAGGGGTTCCTGAAAAAGAGGGCTCAATAATCCATTAATTTCATCAAACATGGATTTATACTCAGAATACAGAAATAATGCTTAATGCAGCTACAACATTAAGTACCAACCTACAACACCAATATCAACACAGAACATCCACTGAAGTGGGACCCACGTTTTCCACAAGAGGAAGTTGATTTGTTGTGTTCAAGCCACAGGCTATGTCAGTGCTGCTGCAAAATTAGGGCTTCTGGTCTCTACTGGATGTTTGACTTAACAGGCAATGCCTTTGTCCCACTACAGCACAACCATGAATAGTCTGCGGGAAACATCAGCAGAGAAGATAAGGAGCAGAATGATGGCAGAGGAAAGTAATTACAACCTTTGCTATTTTTTAAGGATCTCTTCCACTGCTTTCTAAATTTCGCAGTGTCTTGTAGCTCTATAGAAATGCTTACAGAATTAATTATGAAGGCAAATATATAGCTGCAGTTACAGATCATGAGACAGTTATGCTGTGAAATCCTTCTTCTGTTGTAGTTGGTTTGCTTCCATTATAGTGACTGGCTGATGAGATTTAATTACTGTGTCAGGCAGATGCAGAGGCAGCAGAGCAACAGCTGCTTGCTCTATCATTTCTGGCCCACAGTATCTGAGTTGTAATTTGCTTGCTGAGGCCAATGAAAACTCAGGTCCCTGGACACTGGAACTGTCAGCAGTTAGCGGGCAATGAGTACGTGTCAGGGTGTAAGTGAGACTCTGACTTTAAGCACCATTGGGCAACTTCCCTGGGTTCCGCAAGCATTTACCCACAAAATCAAAGCTTCACCAACCTGGCCGCATTGCAGGTGTCATCTGCTCCTACTGTGACCTGTTCTTAAACACTAGCCAAAATACCAGGCTTAAGTAGCTGACTAACAGGACTTTCCCTTCTCTAGTCCTGGAGTCCAGACCTGAAATCCTTCACCTCCCCTGGATTTCATCAGCCTATGGGCTGAAAAAAGCCTGCAGGGCTTCTGCATTTATAGCCAATGCTAAAACCGTTATGCCTAAGGGCAGCAGCCACAACTCTTGGTCAGAGCTTTCTGGGCTTGTCTCTGTAATGCCATGAAACAGCCACTCCTTGGTGTAATCAGTATAAACCAACTGACTGTCATTGACAGCTTCTGTTTTCATTGACCATTTCTCACTCTTAATTTTCCATTGCATCCATAATATGTGGCAAAATGACAAATACATTTATTATAGTGTTCCATCTATAAGGAAAAAGGCCCTTTCCAGGTTCCACAAGCCATGGACAAGTTTGTTTGTATGTATTAACAGGTGTAGTTCTGTTGGTGGAAGACCAGATTAGAGTTACCTTGGGACAATTCAAATCATGCTCTTTCTTCTACCACTAAGATGTAGTAAGACTTAATGCTGATGTTGTTAAAGGGTAGGATCCTGTGACTGACCGTTCAATAGTTCATTATGGCTGGAAGTCTCAAAAATGTTCTCACAAACTCAAATTACAGAATCACAGAATTGATAATCAGAAGTCCACCTCTCACTGACACAGTTGTGAGAAGGCCCACTGGTCTTCCTGGCAGCCCCTAAAACTTTTGCTTTACAGCTGTCAATCCTTTAGCATTGGTTTTGAAAGCTACTTCAATCTGAAACTATTCTTTCATTGCCAGACCAGCTGCAACACCTGTCTTGCCAGTTATCTCCTTCTGCCTACGAACTGGTGGGAAATAGTGGGTTTTTCCAGTTGTGCCTCATCTTTGTTCCTGCCACAGCCCCAGGAGCAGATGTCTTACGGTCACTCAGGTTTGTCATTGGCTTCCTATGATGACCACACTGCCAATTAGCCACTCATGTTCCTACCCCAATTTTTTTACCGATCCAGCATTTGATTCAGAGCAGGTTACTGACCCTGCCCTGATCTCTAAAGCAAAGACTATTAATGCAACTCTAAGAAATGGGATGAGATTGAAATGCTATTTATTAAGTGCCTTGTTTTTAGATCTAGTGGAAGGAGCTGTAAAACAGTATTGCTTTTCAAAGCCAGAAAGAATTAATGTGAAATGGCTTTATTAACAAGCTACCGTTTGCTCTCCTTGGAGCTTTCTGCAGGGTAAGATACTCAGGCTAACTGTAGCAGATCCTAGCATTAGAAAAATCTGCATAGGGACATTTGCCTGGAGGCAGAACTTCAGAGAAGGAGAAATATTTTGTCTCTATCTGCTGCTTCTCTCCCACCTGCTTGCTGGGTTTATAGGGATTTGTGTTTGATGAACTTTTGTCTTTGCTGCACAGCTTCTCTGTTTTGTTTGATCACACAGCAAGGTCAGAATCTTGCATTTCTGACTCCATTTGTTGCCATGGGAATGACTCTGCTATCACAAACATGGTATTATGAGGTCTCTGCAGGACTGAGGATGAGGCACACAGGAGCTGTGAGGGTTTGGTGCTTTCAGCAAATTTGCAATGATAAACCCTTAATATATGAGGACCCCAACCTGCACACACACTGAAATCCATGGGAGATTTACCATTAACTTCAGTGTCTGCTGCAGGATTATGCAGAGAGACAACTAAATAAAGTCAGGATTGGGAACTACTTATTCATGGAGTTCAGCAGATACCCTTACAAATGGATTAATTACTTATATGCCCAGGTTCTTAAGCACATGAAACCTACATTAGGTCTGTTGCTTTGTGCTTACTGGAACAAATGGTGATATGATTTTCTTTTAAATTTTTTTTTTATGCTAGTGCTACTAGAGGTGTTATAGTTAAAGGACAGAAAATTTTGAAGGAGACACAGTAACTTTTAACAGGAGAGATGATACAGTTGGAAAAAGCAGGGAAGGTTTTGGGCACTGCCTGCCTCTCCAAGTGTGAAAAAAGCAGCACTTAAATTTTACTAAGTCAAAGTATGTTTTTAGGTCTGTGCTGTGAGAGAGAGATGCTTTCAGGCAGTGGTGACCTGAGACTATGGCACCAACAGGGAATTCAGGAGGCCAAGGTTCAAACCTCTGCTCTGCTGGGCTCAGAGTGATCAGGGCTGTATGAGCCTACTTGGAGTCAGGACCACACTCTGGACTATTTTGCACATCATTCTGGGTTAGAAAAGGACAGTCTGACACAGTTCCACCTTTGCAAAAGACAGTTTGAATATTTAATTTCCATATGAGATCAAAGGTGGGAACGACAACCCTTGCTACACCGTGGAATTCCCCTACCCCAATCACCGCAACTACTGGCATCAGTATAGCTACTACCCAGCACCCGCAATGCCTGCAGTGTGTGTGTCAGATCTAGGCTCCACAAAATATTCTGAAATCAAATCTTCCTTTGAGGAAAACTGGCAAAGCTCCAGTGAAGTCAACAGAACTTTAATTTCCACCATCTTAGAATAACAGCTGGAATACCTGGGTATCGAGCCAAAGTGTCAGAGACATTTTTGAAACACACACGGAAAAGGAATAGGTTGACATTTAAAAAGAAAATACACTTTTAAAGTTCACCATCAAGAATAAACGTCCTCCCCCTTCTCCCCCAAAACACTAGGACAAGCAAGGACTGTCAAGGGGTAGACGGCTATGTTTTGTGTAAAGCTAAATGCACGCTTGTTACCAAATGAACTGAACTGGTTGTGAACATTCACATTTGTACTTGATTCATGTTGGGGCGTTTGAATGACAAGCATCGGTTTAGATCTAGGGAGTCCTCAGCACTTAAATCTGTTTGCAGTTAATAACTCCTTACCAAATGCACCATGAAAAATCACTTGGATGGGAAACAGCAGAAAAGCAGTTTAGAACTTGCTACATAATATTCCTGTGTAAGTTGCTGAAGTGTTTTTACTAAAAATCAGTGCGCTCCTTGATTTGCTATTGACCACATTCCAGGATATATGAAAACACACAGTTAATCTAGCTATTTGAGGGAGCAGAGGAATATAGCATCTTATACCATGCTCATTAGTGGGTTTTTGCTGCTGCTTGTATGTCACCAGCATGCCTGACAAAAATCATACCTGTACCACTGCATCAGTGATCCAGCAGAGAAAAAAGATTTAATC